GTTTTAAAGAAGTAAGGATAAGTGTGTTATAAAATAGAGTTGATGATGGGTAAGGAGGCCAAAGGTGTCAACTAAGACAGATAAATATTTTTAAATATCTCTATGAAGATATAAATATCTTTCATATATCATAGCTCTAATAAAAAGTTTGGTGCTAAAAGCCTGATGCTTAGGAACAGAATTTATAGGGCAAAAACCACAACACATTTAAATCTCAAAATTAGTATACAGGCCCACCTTGCTACAAAGAGTAATTGATTTAATCTTAACTAACCAAGTCAGAGATCTAAAAAAGTACCAGTAGGAAAGCTATTATACTTACCTACCTGTCCCCTTCCTATGAAGCAAAAGAGTGACATCTTATGGCCAAATGACTGGACATCTATATATGAAATGAGCAACTCTGAATATCTCTATTTTTACTGAGATAAGTACTTCCTGAAAAAACTTTCAATTAACTGAAAAATTAGCAAAGATTAAATTCTCAAAATAAAAAATACTGTAAGATCATTGATTCTCATGACACTATTGATTGTCTGTGTTTGTTTAGGAAGTTCCAGTCTAACAAAATTACTTTCTGGTCTTAATGATGAAAACTTTCTGTAAAGTTAGAGAATAACAAGATGTTCAAATTTATATCATTTGTCTATACTATGTGATTTTAAAAACCTGAAAAAAATCGCTAGATTCCTTATAAAATAATGATAAATATGAGAGAGCTTCTATTTTATGTTACTTATATTATAAACTTTCATCATATCCTAAAAATAAGTGTTTTATGGGTTGGTTGGTTGGTTGGTTACCAGGAGCCTTGAGACCACAAATCCTCGGAAACTGTATATGATATTGTGTACACATGTTCATTTTTAGCGAAAGAGGCAGAGAAAGCTTTGGTCAGATTCTCAAAAAGGTCCACTGACTCCTTCCAGAAAACCACACTGCCTTAAGAAACTGTCCAGTTGTCAAATCTGAAGATAGGAACACTGTGCTAAGCAGCTAGATGAAACAAGCTATCCGGGTATTCTTGTAAGCAAAATTACCCTAAAGGCCCAACAACAGTTATAGTATTTGGGGGGATTGAGAGATTTTCTAAATCCCGAGACATATTAAATATCATTCCTTAACAAAAATTATTACTCTACTATTTGCAAAGCTACTTGTTAGGAAATATGATAAAGTTATCCAATAAAGTGATTGCTCTGTGATTTTCTTACCACAGGAGGTCTCCCACATCCATGGTTTCACTTTCCGTGGTTTCAGTGACATGTGGTCAACCATGGTCCAAAATATTAAATGGAAAATTCCAAAAATAAATAATCCTTAGTTTTAAATTGTGTGCTATTCTGAGTACCATGATGAAATCTCATGCCATCCAGGTCCACTAGCACCCAGGAAATGAATCGTCCCTTTGTCCAGTGTCTACAATGTACAGGTGACCCTTGAACAACACTAGCTTAAACTGCACAGATCCACTAATACGTGGATACTTTCTACTGACCTGCATAAATCAAACCCACATTGTTCAATGGTCAACTCCATGGCTGGAAATCTAATATATTCAGAGGGCTGACTAGTTACACGTAGATTTTCAGCTGCAGGAGGTAATCACCCCTAACCCTGTGCTGTGCAAAGGTCAACTATATATGCTACCTGCCTTTTAGTCACTTAGTCCTAGTAGTGTCTTGGTCACCAGATTAACTGTCATGGTATCACAGTACTTGTGTTCAAGTGCTCCTTATTTTAACTAATAATGGCCCCAAAGCTCAAAAGTAGTGATGGTGGCAATTCGGATATGCCAGAGGAGTCGTAAACCGCTTCCTTTAAGTGAAAAGATACGTATGTATGTATGTATGTATGTATAGAAAAGAACATAATACATGGGGTTTCGTACTTACTATCTGCAGTTTCAGGCATCCACTGGCAGTCTTAGAATGTATCCCCTGCAGATGGGGGGAGCTACTGCGCAAAGTTCACTACCAGGCAATGTGATGCCTTTCAGTCATCCATGAAGAAAAAAATTTTGTTTTCAATCAGATAACTGAATCTGAACACAGCATAACTCAGCATAACTTAATTTTTTTTTTTTTATTAATTTATTTACTTTTTAAATACATTTGTCTCTGCCTTCCCCCCCCCCTAATTTTTTTTAATTTTACAATTACAAAAGCATCTTTAAATCTAGACCTAAATAAAATACCATGACCTAAGGACTCTATACTTCTCTGGCCACTTAATAGTAATAATTTTCTTTTCTTTTAATAAGCATTTTTTAAAGATTTTTATTTTTATTTATTTTTAGAGAGGGAAATGGAGGAAGAAAGAGAGGGAGAGAAACACCAATGTGTGGCTGCATTCCCACACCCCCTACGGGGGACCTTGCACGCAACCCAGGCATGTGCCCTACATTGGGAATTGAACCAGCAACCCTTTGGTTTGCAGGCCAGCGCTCAGTCCACTGAGCTATACCAACTAGGGCCGTAATATTAATAATTTTCATTACTTTTAAAATGTAGTGGCCACAGCACATAAAAAGATGGCTCAACACCATTAATCATTAAGGAAATACAACTTAAAACTACAATGACATACCACTTCACACCCACTGGGATGGCTACTATCAAACACAAAAAAACAGAAAGTAACAAGTGTTGGCAAGTTTTTGCAATGAAAATGGAAATGTAAATTAAATGGTATGTCCCTGTGACAATCACTATGACAGTTTCTCAAAAAATTAAAAATAGAATTACCATATAATCCAGCAATTCCATTTCTAAGTGTATACTCAAAAGAACTGAAAGCAGGGTTTCAAAGAGATATTTGTACATCAATGCTGCACACTGCTCACTTCACAGCAGCTAAAATACGGATACAATTAAAGTATCCATCAGTTAATAAAGGCATAAGCAAAATGGGGTATATACATAAAATGGAATATTATTCCACCTTAAAAAGGACGGAAATTCGACATAGACTACAACATGGATGAAACCTGAAGACATTATGCTAAGTGAAATAAGCCAGTCACATAAAGACAAGTCCTATATGATATCACTTATATGAAATACTCAGAGTAGTCAAAATCGGAGACAGAAAGTCCAGCGGTAGCTGCCAGAGGCTGGAGAGGATGGAGAGTTAATGTATAATGGGTACAGAGTTTCAGTTTTGCAAGATGAAAAGAGCTCTGAGGATGGATGGTGGTGATGGCTGCATAACAATGTAAATGTAGTTAATATCACTAAACTGTACACTTCAGAATGGTTAAGAAGGTAAATCTTAAGTTATGTGTATTTTACTAAAATAAGAAAATTGGAAAAAATCTAGTGGCTGGGAATCATATTTTCTTTTTACAGTATTAACAATAAAAATAGCTGCTATTTATTAAGCACATACAGCACTTTATACATATCACTAATTCTTACAACCGTATCACTAATTCTTACAACCTTATAGGTATGAAAAGTGAGATTCAGAAAAAGTTGAGTAACTTGCCTGAAATCACACAGCTAGGAAGCAGCAAAATTAGCATTCAAACCAAAGCCCATGCCATTCTTTATGTATTGCACAATCTCTGCATTTCACAAAAATTCAGGATAAAGTACACATGTGCTCCTAGAGAGCAGTAAGTTTGAAAAAGCACTGATGATGAACAAATGATTTTTAAAAATCCCTACAGCCAAAGAGGCATTCGGAAGGGCATAATAAGCATATTACAATAACCTGTATCTTACCTCCAACCCTAATACACCCATGCAGACCTACTCTACTGCAACGCTCATTCCAAAGTTAAAATAAATGCAAATCCTTAACAGGTTTCACATTCTAAATTGCAAAAGAAACACTCTCAAAAGCATCAACAAAAGAGAAGAAAAATGTGGTTTGTCCATGGTGGCAAAGGTAAAAATCTAAGTATTTTACAGGGTATTAAATAAATGTTAAGGGAAAGAGAATAGCAATTGTGGAGGAAAAAGAGATTTTTTTAAAAAGTCAAAGGTTTAAAAAAACAAGTGGATGAAAACAAAAATTCACAGAATAGAAAAGTAAAAGTCAATACTAAGGCATGACATAAATATACAAAACAGCTGATTTGCTTTTAAAGAGCACAGTTGGCTTCCCATTAATGACTGCTATGTTTGCAGAAGTGAATTAATTCGCTGTAATGAGTGATACAGTAAAATTCTTCAGAATGGGTTTTCAATCAAATTGTGGCTCCAAGTAAGTTGGACAACTACAAAAAATAGCTAGAAGGTGAGCAGAGTTGGAAAATTTAAAGGCATGTAATAAAAATGACAAAAAGTCGTCAGTTTTTTCATTTAGGTCATTCATCAATACCTTCGAATGTTATTCATGGCTGCAAATTTTAGTATATTTAAAAAGTATTATTTTATTTCTTCTATCCACATTTATTTCAGAAACTGTGAGAAAAAAGAATCCTTCTGAATCTCTAGAGTTACATTCTTCTTTAAATATTGGTTAGTGAAATTGGACATTAGTACTCTCGTTCTTTGAACAATCTCAGAAAAGTCCCCTTCCAAGAAACTGAAGATCTTTCAGGGTTTCATTTTGTCACTGTCGACCTCTTAAATGGTCTTTTTCTTGGGAGGGGCAGGTATTTATATATTATTATTTACTGCTTTCTAGATTCACCTGTAAGAACTTTGCTTTCTGAAAAATTTGGAATGTCAGAAACAAAACGAAGATCTGGATTCTTAGCTTTGTAAAATTGTACTAACACTATTTCATACCATGAATATGTCACATACATGAATATAAATTTTTCTCTATCAGATCAAAAAGGTTCCAGAAAATTATGAATTCATTCCATTATAAAAAAACTAAAGAATAGAAGTGAGATAAGGAAAAAATAAAAAAGATAGAAGTATGAGAACATGACAGTTTAGTGAGTAGGCAACAGCTCACGAGTGGACAGCAGTTTATTGATTTCTCTCAGGAGTGAAGTCTCCTCCTCTTGGGTGGTTTGCACTGTGACTGCAGCAGCATACCTTTGGTGGTATCAGATATGCTATTTAACAAGGCACACATCACATCTCCCTCCAAGTGGTGAGGGTTTAGTATATGTGCTGGCCTCTGAGTCTTCTTAAATTGATTCTCTAGCTCCAGAAAACCTTGATCTCCTGAAAGGATGGTGAAAGGAATTTGCTTGGGTAGTTGTTCATCTAGACGGCCAGCCTAGGTTGGAACAAACAGCATATGTTGATGAAAATCAGCACCTGACTTTCAAATCAAGTTTTATCTATTTCAGAATGAACACACATAGGAAGGTATATTTAGCTGGTTTCCTAGTTCCCCCCAAAGTAAATCTCTATCTTCATAAATGAAATATACCACATTTAATCAAGTATAAAATACCATCAATTATAAGGTAAGCTACTTTATGTGCCACTGAGAAAGGAGGACAAAAAATAAAGCCAAAAGGAGTCCAATAGGAGGCTCTTACAATAAAGCTGATTTGCTATAAATGAATCACAAAGAAAAAGGTAAGCAATATACTTTGCACACTTAATCTTGGCACTGGACAGGTGGAAAAAGAAATCTCTTGTGATTTAAAACATAAGCATCAGATGTCAACAAGTTGGCAGAAATAAAATATAAAATAAGTTGCATTTATTTTATACGTTGACATATAAACCCTTAAGCAGATAATTTAATTTAAACTTGGTCTCAGGTTGGTTGTTTCTCCAGGTGACTGGCAGAGACAGAAGCAAAGACAAATCCTGTCTAGCCAACAGTGCTTGTTAAGGTGCCTCCCACTTTCAGAGATTTCAAAATGTGAAAGTGTCTTAGTACATCTAAAGTACTGTGTCATCTCTTGATCATATATTCCATAAACAGTTGACATTGCCAATAGTAGAGAAGATTCTGCTAGAAGTTAGGGATAAAGCAGTAAATAATTCAGCTCTGGGTCCCTTCCCTCATAGTAGTCATAAACAGAAACTGATGTGGAAGGTTTTATGCAAAAATATAGCACTAAAGAATGGTCTACAGTATCATTATGATTAAAGTGGGGAAAAAATACAATGCGTCCTAGATTCACATTCGATTTTGAATGAAACAATGACTCACATGCATACATATGGCAAAATCAGCAGCATCTTTTCTTTTACTGCAACGAGGATGAAGGAAGAAGCATCCAATTCTATTCAGGTAATTATAGATCTTACAGTTGAGTGGAGGTTTCCAATTGGTGTTTCCTCCTATAAGTGATAGTCAAACAGGAGAAAAAGGACAGAACACTAGATACAACTGAAAATTTTATCAAGTAAAAACACTGAAAAATTCTCCGAGAGAGAAAGTACCATATTAGAATGCAGAAGTACTTAGGTCAGTGTAGGTATCACTATCTTGTTGCTTTACAACCTTGGAAAGTAGACCAACTTCTCTGAATCTGCCTATTCATCTGAAAACTCACAAAGATGCTGAGAATCTAAAGTAATGTGTGAAAATTCTTTGAGTGGTATCATTCTTATAAATGTAATCATTAATGGCTTTTTACAACAATGTCAAGGCTGTTCAGTGGAAAGACATAACAGACTATCAGCAAAGCTAGACTTACTGAAAGGCTGGACTGGCTAACTTATCCGGGTCGGTGTACTTTTATCTTACATCTCAATATTCCTCTTTATATGTGACTTTCTATCAAATATGAAGTATATTACATTAAACTTCTATAAATCAAAAAGTCTTTCTCCAAGATTTGGTCAATGGTTTGTAAACAGATTTACATAAAGTTGAACATTTTTGAGTAGTAACATAGTAACATAGTTACCACAAGACCCAAGTTCAAAAGCTAACTCTGCTATTTATTATTTTTATACCTTGGAAAAAATAAACTTCTCAGCCTACTTCCTTGTATTTTTCAATCAGTGAGCATGTAGTAACACCAAGTATAGTACCTGGAACATTGCAGGTATTGAACAAAAGCATTTTCAATCTGTATCTAAAGATCCACAAACTTTGCATCACCAAATAGAGCTAAAATTTTCCCCAGGGATATGCAAAGACGAAAATATTCTAGCAGAGTAACTATAATGGAAAGTGACAATATTCTAATTATGTTCCTATGTTCTATTCAGGAAGGTTCAAGAGGCATCCTTTAAAGCAAACCACATTCTAAGAAGGAAACAAAGGGGAGGGGGATCTCAAATGTTTTCATTATTAACCATACCTTGAAAGCCCCAAATAAATGTTCCTTGGTTAAGATTCCCTGGTAAATGACCAAAAAAGTTTGACCAGTTATCAAAGTCTACAAAGACTATATGAGTCATGGTTCGCAGGTAATCCAAATCTGGAAGCTCAACAACTTCATCTAAGGAGAGAGAAACATTAACATGGATTTGGTAAGAATTAGCTAAAAACATTTTAATTTCTCAAGTTTAAAGGATACCAGAGAACTAATATGCAAAACATTAATCTTGCACATTATGTCTATCTAATCCTTTTCATAAAGTCCAAACCTACACAAGATACAGCACATTTAAACCAGATTCAAATATTCTAAATATTTCAGAAATGATTATATATCCTTTCTAAAAATATAGACCATTGATCCTATTTTTTTAAAACATCATTTATGAAAGGAATTTTAAAAATTAACATACGAGAGGAACAAGTGTTAAGGCTAACCAAAATTTTGCACCATCATCCATCAAAGTAAAATTTTCAAGGTTACCTGCTAAGAATGTTCTCCCCACCAGAATTGTATTCTTTCCCCAATCTAGACCAATTTATTAGTAGCCCTCTAGCTCTGTGATTAAACACCTCATAGAGCACATGAAGTGATGCATTATAGGTACTGGTGGCACTTCAGTACCTTCACCGCAAACACATTTTTATTGGTTCTCTCAAGTTCTTCCATCTTCCACAATTTTCCAACTCTCGTTCTTCCTCCCCGTCCATTCTTTCATCTTTTTTACCTTGACAAAGTCTTAAAGTTTCCAGTGGTAGCAACGTAAGCCTTAAAATATGAAATTATTTTTAGAATAGCTTCTGCTCCAGCTAACAGAGACTCCTTCAAGTATACTACCGCATCTCCTCCCATTTCTAAGCCACCTGTCATTTTACATCTTTTCTTTAAATTCTCATTGATTGTAAATTTAGATAGTACAATCATCTTCTATTAAATAAAGAAAAACCCAAATTCCTAAAAAGTACGCAGGCTCTGGCTGGTGTGGTTCAGTGGACTGAGCAACGGCCTGTGAACCAGAAGGTTGCTGGTTTGATTCCCTGTCAGGGCTCACACCTGGGTTATGGGCCAGGTCCCCAGCTAGGGGGTTGCAAAAGGCAACCAATCGATGATTGATGTTTCTCTCCCTCTCTTTCTCCTTCCCTTCCCCTCTCTCTAAAAATAAATAAATAAAATCTTTAAAAAAAAAAGGTAATCAGAAAAGCAATAGAAAGAAAGCACAAGAAAACAAAATGGGGTGACCCCTGATTTACTATTTGGAGTAGAGTTATACAGGTCTGTAGGATGTTAGTTAATAATTTCTTACATAAAACATACCATGACTAAGGTGATGCTGACTAAGGTGATGCTGAGATCTACATGTGATAGAGAGCAAGCTTGTAAAAATTCAGTTATTTCATAAAAATATTTTATTAGCCAAATTTTCACCTGTCCTCATTGTCTCCACTTTACATGGTAAAACTTACCAAAAGTTATTATTTATGGTGAAGGGATTAAGCAAAGAAAAAAAAACCTCATAGACATAGACAACAGTATGGCGATTACCAGATGGAAAGTGGGGTGGGGGAGACTGATGAGGGTAAAGGGGGAATAAATGGTGATTAAAGGAAACTTGACTTGGGGCGATGCACACAGAATGCAATATACAGATGATACATTACAGAATTGTACACCTGAAACCTATATAATTAACCAATGCCACCCCAATAAATTCAATTATTTAAAAAGGATATACACTTACAATTATACTCTAAACAAGTTATACCTCTAAACAAAATATTGTACTCTTCTAGACTTACTTAATCTTACCATATGGGAGAAGAAAAGTCTAGAGTAAGTACAAATAAGGGGATCCTTAACTCATTTCTCTTCCTGGTTTCTTGCTACCATTTGTAATTCTACTTCTAATTCCTATTTTAATTGTAAGTAAAAGCTTTGCTTCCAAGAAAGTCGTAATAAAAATATTCAAATTCTACAGTGACCTTTGAGATTTTTCATAAAATAAGGCCAAATTAGAAACAAAAATAATTCCGATTTATTATCTTTTGAATAAACCAAAATCTAAAAAATAATATGTCCAGGATAACTTTCAAATCTTACTTCCCAAAACACTATAAATTTCCTTCACCTCGCAAAATTCCCGTGTCTTTTATAAAAGAAAATGACATCTAAAATACATTTAAAGCCAACATACTCTCTGTCCCTCTATGTTTAGAAAATGGCTGGCAAAATGTAGTAGTAGGAATATACAGCAGTAGTAGAAATCCCTATAAAGAATATGATACAATAACTAACTAATGTATCATCCTATCATCTTTTTTGCTTCAATGCTGAATCATTAGCTTTCACAAAAATGATGGCTGTAATATACTTAAGTTTCTATATTAATACAGAAATCTGCACAGACATTAGAGTTGTAAAGTCATACCTATATTCTGACAACTGAGGTCATTCTCAGCTCCTTTCTCCATGTCTGAATTTTTTGGATAGCTTACTGCTTGTTTCAGTTTTCTCTCTGTTCGTGAGGCAGTAGCAGCAAACTTGTACGGGCTTGTTTTTTCAAATCCAAAATGAGCCACATTGGGTTTCTGGAAAAAGCAATGTTTTGTATGGAAGTGCTGCTGAGCACTCTCAGGATCATGAAATGTTTTCGTGCAGGTGCCACACTTGATTACATATTGCTGCTGCTCCTCCTCACTCTTTTCTTCTCTGTGCACTTGATGGATATGAGAGTTCATGTCGGCTACATTCTGTGCTGTTGCTGAACACATGCTGCAGCGAAACCACAATTTACCTTTATCCAGCAGGATTTGGAGGCATCTACTATAATCTTCCTTTCTGTTGACTTTACAGATGTAACTCTCACGGCAACCACAGGTTAACAGGTTACTAGCCTCCAGTACTGGAAAGTCATTCTCAGTTTTAATTGAAGCTTCACTTTTTTCTGACACAAACACATAATCTATGCTGTGTTGCTCCTTATAATGACTTAAAAATGCTTCTTCCACATTAAAGGTAAGGTCACAAAGCCCACAAAAGTACTTAAGCCTTATCTCATTGTCGTGCTCATCTTGGCAATGTCGGTATAGCGTTTCTATCTTGTGAAAAGTCTTTTTGCAATGGGCACAGCTGTATCTATGAAACTGGTGACTTGTTAAAGACATGCAGTGCTGTTTTACACATTCTTGGGAATCAAACATATCTTCACAGATTCGGCATTGCCATTTACCCCTTGGAGGACTGTCTGTTGGTGAATGATCAATAATTGTAATAGTTGAAGGAGGACTCTTAGCAGTCAAATTATTCTTCAATGCTGTAGAAGATGATGGTACAGTTTCACTTTCTACCTCATCCATCTCATAAAAATATCTGTGACCACTATGAAATTCAGTCACATGTGTCATGATAGTCTCTTTCCTTGTTAACTCCTTTTTACATGTTCGACACCAGAAGAGAAAGTTATTTAAATGTGCCCCACCATGAATCCGGCTCATATGTAAACGGATGACCCCTGAATCTTCACACACCTTTCCACAGACCACACACTTATAACACATTGTATTTGCTGAGAAAACATGCTTTTCTACTAAATCTTCACTTGGGAATCGTTGATGACATTCACAAAACCAGGTCTTAACAACTGTCTTTTCTTTCTGGACACAAACCATACCTTCACAGCTTTTATCTTCTAAATTCATCTTCTTCTTTGGAATGGTACTGCAATCTTGTGAGCTAGAGTCTTGATGAGACACAGTTCTTTTAAGTGATGAAAATTTTGATTGATCTAGCAATAGATTCAAGTCAGAAGAAGGTTTGTTCCCTTCACTGCTGTAGCAATAAAGTAAGACTGACTCTTCCATTGAGTTAATAACTCGAACTTTGTGTCCTAAATTCTGCTTGTGATTTCGGGTACTTGTTTCATCCAGAAAGACTTGGTTGCAATTTGGACAATAACCTCTTAATATGAATTTCTCTGCAACCTGGGCAATGCTTTTCTCAGCTACAGCTACAGGACCAGCATTCCGACAACGAACTCTAAAGTGGATAAGAAAAATAAACTCTTTCATAAGTATTTTCTAAATGGAGTATTCTTTCTTTTATTGCAGAAATTATAAAATAAACAATGTACATATAAGCACTAAGAGATATTTTTCAATAAAGATGCAGATTATATAATATTCTATCATCTCAAGGTACATTTTGTCTCTTTCTATCCTATATACAAAAGGGTAAAACTAGAATCAAAACATAAAAAAAACCTCAAACTTTAGAAAACTAAAAACAGTATCAAATGCACTGATACAGGATCTTATCAGACAAGCAACTTATTAACTTCTCTACGAAAATTAGGCAGTGTGGAGGAATATGATGGTAAGATTCTCAACAACCTGGTACCTATTCCTTAAGAACGGATTTACTCTATGTCAGAATTACGTTATGTGCATAGTTGCTTTTATATTAAAGAGTCAGCCTCAATTAAAAGACCACACACTATTCCAAAAATTAACTCAGAACAAATCAGCTTCTCTAGGGAAAGGAAAAATGGAACGTTGCTTTAACTGTCATCCTTTCACTACTAAACTCCAAAAAGAACAGATCTCCTACCATCCCATCGATTTAATATATTTTAAAAGTGCAAAATTATATAAAGTATGATCTTTAATTATAGTGGAATTAAACTGGAAACAAGAAATAATTTTAAAAATCTCTATTAGAAATTACATCCCTAAATCTTCAGAGATTAAACACATTTCTAGTAAATCTATGGGTCAAAGGAAACATCAAAAAGGAAAAGGTAAAATATTTTTAACTTGATGAAAATAAAATCAACTTATGAAAACCTGAGGGATGCAAATTTTAACTTTAAATGTTTATAGAAAAAGAAGGTCCAAAATCAGTCTAAACTTCTACCTTAAGAAGCTAATAAAAGAGCCCTGGCCGGCGTGGCTCAGTGGATTGAGTGCCAGCCTGAGAACCAAAGGGTCACCAGTTTGATTCCCAGTTGGGCACATGCCTGGGTTGTGGGCTCCAGTGAGAGATGCTCAAGAGGCACCCACACACTTATGTTTATTCTCTCTCTCTTTCTCCCTCCTATCCCCTCTCTAAAAATAAATAAATTTTTTAAAAAAAGCTAGTAAAAGATAAGTAAATTAAACCCAAAGTTTAAAGAACAGAAATCAACAAAGTAAAAAATAGCAAACAGCAGAGAATCAATCATCAGTGAAATCAAATGCTAGTTATTTAAAAATCAACAAAAATTTGTTAAAAAACAGATTATAGGAACCCATGTAAAAGCTTTATGAAAGCTGAACCTTAAAACACAATGAAGTAAATAAAAAATATATTCCTGAAACAAGAATAAGCAAAGGTTCCTCAGATGGGACAGAGAAAGCATAATCAAAAAGAAAAAAAAATTAATAAATCACACTTAATGAGATTAAAAACTTCTGCTCATCAAAAGACACAATTGACAATATGACTATGCACCAGACTGGGAAAGAATACATTCGCAGTACACATACCTGACAAAAGATAGAATACATGAAGAACTCCAACTCACGTTTAAAGGAAAACAATCTAATTTTTAAAATAGGCAAAAGACTTGAACAGATACTTCACAAAGATAAATGGCCCACAAGTACATGAAAAAGTGCCTAACATCATTATTCATCAGGGAAATACAGATTAAAACCATGAGACACTCAAAACAGCTAAAATGAAAAAGACTGGCAGTACCAAACCTTGGCAAGGATGTAGAGTAACTGGAATTTTCATACGTTGCTGCTAGAAATACACACTAGTACAACTCTTTGAAAAAAATGTTTAGTAGTTTATAAAACTAAATACACAACTACTCTTCTGACCCATCAATTCCACTCCTAGATATTCATCCAAGAGAAATGAAACATATATCCATAAAAAGACCAGTACATAGGGTGGGGTTGGGTAGAGCTGGGGAGAGGGATAAAAAGCCAGAACTTTAACAGCTAAACAATAAAAAAATTAAAATTAAAAAAAGACTTGTAAAAATATACATAGCAGCTTTATTCACAATAGCTAAAAACTATCAATAATCCACGTAAGAATGAATAAACAAATTGTGCTATATTCAAAATAAAATACTACTTACCAGTAAAAAGTAACTCTTTACTAAACACTATGGATCAATCTCACAGATACTATAACAAACACAAGAGTACATACAACAGTACATGATTCCATTTACATAAAAAACTTAAGAGGAGAAAAAAACCCCAAATCAATGTAAGGTATAAGAAATACCAGAACAAAGACTGCCTGGGAATGAGAGGGTAGAAAAAGATTGGGAAGAGACACACAGAATTTTCCACAGAGCGGTAACATATTATGATAAAAGTCTGGGTTAAACAGATGTATCCATTTGTCAAAATTGTGAAAGATACACGATTTGTACATTTCAGCGAATTTAAATTCTATCTCAAAAACGAAGAATTTTAAAATTTAAGGGGTATCAATAAACCAAGATGTATAAATACAACAAGAATGGTAGTGTTGATTATTATTGAAGCTGGGTGATGGTAAATGGAGATTCATTATACCAGTCTATGCACTTCATAGAGTTAAAATTTTCCATAATAAAAAATTAAGAATAGAAATAAAATCAGAGCCAAGATATGAACTCATAAAATGTAAGTCAGAACCTCAATATGTTAACCTCAGTACTTATACTGAGTATGCACAGTATATACATAATTATATTCTGTAGTTTTATTGAAATATTTTCCTTGAAGGGTTGTGAAAATGTTTAGTAGTTTATAAAACTAAATACACAACTACTCTTTTGACCCATCAATTCCACTCCTAGATATTCATCCAAGAGAAATGAAACATATATCCATAAGAAGACTTACCCATAAACAATGTAACTTATGTTTACAAATATGTATTTATCCAAATGTGAAATACTTCAAGAGATAATCAGGGAGATTTGGTAATTAACTAGGTATTTGATATTTAAAAACTATTAATTTTTAAGGTATGATAATACTATTAATTTTTTTAAACAAGAGTCTTCATCATTTATGTATATTGAAATATTTACAGATAAATGACATGATTTGCTTCAAAAAAATTGACAAGGGGTGAGAATATAAATGAAACACCACTGCCATGTGTTGGTAACTACTAAAGCTGGGTGAAAGGTACATATCGGTTTATTATACTTTTTTTCCTTTTGTATATTGCTTATTATTTTCCACTGTACAGACAAAAAAAAAATCATACTGAAATCTCGATTATTTGATAAATTTGGCCTTTCACTGAAATTTAATCTTTCACATGTATATGATATGTTCCATTCTGGTTAACTTAAAGCCAAGGTACTTCCCTACATAAACAGTCAACAGAGAAAAATTACACACAGAACTTAGAAATATTAGCTTGTTTTACATTCATAGCAATATCCATATATCCACTTCTTCAACACCTCTAATTCCTCTCATTATGCTAATTTTGTTAATTTACAACCAGCCAAATGTACATTCTCATTTTAAAAGGAGAGAAACATGAAATAGAACACTATTTGAATCCCACTGGTGAAGAGAGTATTAGGCAGATTCCCTTATTGCCCAAGACTAGACCCGTACAAACCTGAAATGGGCAGTAAGCTCCATGTGGGAACGCAGTGTCTGGTGGCAGGCCACACACTTAACTTGAAATGGAACATCTTTGCACAGAGAAATCAAAAGTTTCTTTGCAAAAGATGGAAATGATATTGGATATGGTATTCCCTTGCCATCTGTAAGACAAAATAAACCGTAACTTGCAAAGACTAGAGAGTGACCCAATGTTTCCTCTCTTTGGCCTTCCTCAACATCAGTTGGACTAAGTAGAAGATGGTTATTTATGTAATAAAAATCTAAAGAAAGTCATTTCCTAGCCTTAAGCACAGAGTAAGCTGAAAAACTCTCAAACTCCCAGATACCATAGATATATAAAAACATTATTCTGAATGAAAGTTTTCTTCCCAAGTTTCTCTTCATTCTTCAAAATAAGTAAGCCTTCTTCTTAGGTACAGATAAATCCTGGGAATCTTTTTTGAAAAAAATAAAATAAAATCTTTCACTTCTGGTTTTTACACTAAAGTGAGAAATAAGCAAAAATTAAAAATTATCTCAGAAGTATGGTAAATCAGCAAAAATTAAAGCAGTTTAATAATTTTCAGAGAAGAGAGTGTGAACATACCACCCAGTTTAAAACGCTGATGGAAATGATTTTTCCCAGACATATGCTTCAAACACTCATCCTTACTGCTAAAAAGAAGGAAGCAATTTGGACACGCAAAACACTGAATAATCTGAGGAAGAAGGTTGTTTTTATGTCCATCATCTGCAGCTTCCTAAAAAAACAGAGCAAACCTGCATTATAGACAACTAAAACCAACCAGTATTCAACATCTTATGGTCAACTTTCAAAGTATTTATTATTTGGAATATTCTCTATCACTTTTTCATACAAAAAATGGAGCTTTTTAAAATCATAAATCAGGTCCTACATGCAAAATTTTTAATTTTTCCTTGAAAACAAATTATAACCATCTTTCTGTGACAATAAATGTACAAGTATATTTGCTTTTTATATATTTTCCTTTTTTACATACACATGCTATATTATATAAATGCATGTTTTCATATCACCTGTTTTTAATGTTTTGCTATGTTCACTTTTCTATGCAATGTAACTTATGTTTACAAATATGTATTTATCCATAAATTGATCCATGCTTAATAATTTACATATATATAAACAAACATACAAGAGGAATTCCCATTGTTGTATCAAATATTTTCAACTTACAGACTTTTCTACCTCTTTGTTTTCCAATTCTACAATACCTAATGGAAATCCCTAAAAATCAGCTGGTATAGCTTTAATTCATTCTTCTTAATGGTTGCCAACTACTCCATGTTATGGATCTTCACTGATTTAGTCAAGTATTCATTCTGAGGCCCTTTTTTTTGCCACTATAAAGAACAATGTTGTAAACATCCTTGAATATATATCCTTATTTATAGGTGCTTTTCTCTCATTATCAGAAGTGGTCCTATTGGGTTAAAGGGTGTATTAGTTGAATATTAAAAGACACTGTATGTTTGTTTTTCAAAATGACTCTACTTTAACTGCGTTTCCTGTCTACTAGTGAAGGTAAGCATTTATTCATACAATTCTGTGGAGATTGCTCATTCACATTCTTTAGCTTCATATTTCAAAACTTTTGTTTCCTCTCCTTCTGATTAACTTTATTACTGAAGCTTTTTGTCTCATCCTCTATTTTGTAAATATTTTCAAATATCTATTTATTAATTTTGTATATGCTCACTTTAAAATTTTTATATAGTGAAACAGGTATGTCTTTTCTAGCATCTAAGTTTCCAAACCTGGTAAGAGCCTCCTTTATCCAAAAACTGGAAATATTTTCAAGTGTATGTGTGTGTGTGTGGGTGTGTGTGTGTGTATGTGTATGTATGTGCTTGTGTATAAATATAATTTCACTTCTTGTTAATGGTCTTTAGAGTAATAACCTTAAAAGTTGTATTGTGTCTTTTTAAATGCACTATCTTAAATTTACATCAAGGATATCAAAATAGTTTGTGCAGTCTTATGCAATGCAACAAAAGAAGAGCAAATTTGTATTTATATTGAGCACACGTCAAGTACCATATTAGTATTCAAAATGTGCTTTTTCATTTAATCCTTACAGTAACCCCATGAATTACTATTTTCATCATTTACAAATATGAAAACTGAAAATTAGATAAGTCAACAAAATTACCAGTTCCCCCAACCAAGGTATAATCTTAGAAGAGACAAAGCTACCATTCAAATACAGCTTTATATCTTTGGTCATAAATCCTATGCTCTTTCCAGTATTCCCCATCCTGTTTCAATTTGGTGGATACCACATAAAAGATCACACTGTGAGGACGTGGCTGGTATGGCTCAGTGGATTGACCACTGGCCTGAGAACCAAAGGGTCACCAGTTCAGTTCCCAGGCAGGCACATGGGTTGCGGGCCAGGTCAGGCCCCCAGTAGGGGATGCACAAGAGGCAACCACACATTGATGTTTCTCTCCCTCTCTTTCTCCCTCCCTTCCCCTCTGTCTAAAATAAATAAATAAAATCTTAAAAAAAAAAAAAATCACACCATGAAGACATTCTGCATTTCATTAGAAGTTTCTAAATTATAAGAGCACTAAAGGCATTTGTTAGGCACCCATTTATACAAACATGTCATAATAAAGAACAACTAAACTAAGAAAATAGGTAATTTGTAGTTCAATTGTGAGTTATAAATGTCTCTAATATAATGCTTGTTTAAATGGTATGTTCAACAGAACAAAAATGGAATTCTACATAAAATTTTATTGGAATATACCTATTGCATAAGTATAGCATATTTATAAATACTGTCTACAAACTAGAGGAAGGAATGGGAAACAGAATGTCTGATTAACGTACTCAATTTTTTTTACCATTGTATTTTTGGTCACATTAAAATAAAATACACCATGAGAGAGAGAGAGAGAGAGAGAGAGAGAGAGAGAGAGTGTGTGTGTGTACTGGAACTGCATACATTGCTGGTGGGAAAATAAAATGGTATAGTGTACTGTATAACAAGTTGGCAGTTCTTCAAAAAATTAAACATAATTACCATATGACCCAATAACTTAACTCGTCTGAGAAGTGAACACATATGTCCACACAAAGACTTGTATGCTTGTGTTCATCAACTAGATGAACTGATGAACAAAATGTGGCATATATCCATACAATGGATCATTATCTGGCAATAAAAAGGAATGAAGTACTGATATATGCTACAACATGGATGAGCCTTAAAAATACATTAAGTGAGAGCATCCTGTCACAAAAAGGCCATATATTCTACGATTCCATTTATATGAAATGTCCAGAAAAGGAAAAACATAAAGACAGAAAGTAGTGTACTGGTTTCCTAGGGCTGGGAAAAATAGACTATCAAGGGGGAAAATAACCTTTGATTATAAAATGGCCCTAGGAACAGAATGAGAGAGTGGTAGTACCGACTGGCCCACAAGTGACCTTGAGGCACACTGAAGCTTACAGTATGTCCACCACCACCACCACCACCACCACCACCACCACCAAAAAGGGAAAAAAACAGGAAGTTATCTAGTGATATATCCACTGGATGACTTTAATGTCAAAAAAACAATAGACACTTGCTACTGAAAGTGTGGCCCAGCAGCACTGGCATCACCTAGAAGCCTGTTAGAAATCCTGAATCTAAGGCCCTACCTCAGATCTACCAAGTCAGAATTTGCATTTTAACAAGTGATTCGTGTATACACTAAAGTTTGATTCTTGAATGATTATGTGCACATTAAAGTTTGAGAAGTACTAGTCTAGATGGAAGAAACTGGAGATAAAAGGAAAAGGGAAGTAAAATAAACAATGGAAATTGTGACAATTTCCCTTTCACTGAAGAATGCCATCTTTACAAAATAGAATTCATCAGTATACAATCTTCTAGTGACCTCTTCTGGCTGATTCAAGACAAGCCATTACAAGCTAATGCATACTAGTTTTCTTTAATGTCCCTTTGACACATTCCAAAGAATAAGAAGCATTTACTGCAAGCTATGTCTAGTATCAAATATGGTAAACACTTGTTACCGAGTTCTGTATTCCATGGATTTTCATATACCAGAAATCAACTCATGTTCTTTGAGATGTTATAACACTTAATGAAAGTTATATAACACTGCCTTTTAAATACTAGATATACTTCTTAATAGTAGCATTAATAAAAGAACTGTTATTCACTACATGGCTCCAACATTTTAACAGGCAGGGAAAAGCAGTGGACGTAAGAATATGGTTCTCGTTCTAATCATGTCACTAATTCACAAAGCATCTTAAACAAGGTAAGTTAGCTCACAAAGCAAGTCCATAAAAGGAAGAGTTCTATGATAATCTGTAGGACTGCTGGTTTTCAGCTATCAAATTTACCTGTCCACAATAATTTAATGTTCCAATTCATTTTACTCTTCACAGACAATCACAAGTTTGATTCTACGTGTATCACTGGTGATTGCAATCTTAAGAGTAGCAAGAAAAAAAATACTTACTCTTAACTTAGGACATCCTCTTACCTTAGAAAAAAGGTGTTCCCTATATTGTTGTTGAGTAACAAAATTTTTATAACATACTACACAAGCAAATGAATTGATGAAAGGTCCATGTAGTGTAATTGTTGGGTCACATGGAGAGTGATCGAACCTACTTGGCAAAAGAGAGGTAACATTAGAAAAGCCCACATTCTAGGGGCAGAACTATTTAGCCTCATTTGTTAAGCTAAACAAACACACATACACACTCATAACTTTACACTTTTCTACTGACCTATTAAATAATGTTCCTCATATTCAGGAAATACGAAGTGATTTCCATAAGCCAAGCAATCCCTTCGGACAGTGACGAAGAGTTAGCTTAAGATTTCATAAACATGCTCAAGATCCAATAAAATAGATTTAGGAATGTCTTGCCAAACTGGTAAACTTCCAGTCTGAAAACTATAAAGCCATCATCTTTTCTTCTTGACTAATTTACCATAAAGCTCACAAATAATTTAAAATGAACCACCGGAGACCATGAAAACTCAGGAAGAAAAGACATTTGCTATGATCTCGGCTGTGTCAATAGAAGGATCACTTTTCTTGAGGAGGCAAAGGCACCAACAAGGTTGTCTTTCTCCTAGGCAGACCACAACTGTCAAATGTGAATAGGCAGTAATTCTGCTAATTTAACTTTCTTCTTTGGCAAGCTGTCAGGACTTAATTACTTTTATGGACACCCAATCTCATGAAGTTTCACCAAAGGGCGACAGAGACTCTACTCTTAAGTAAAATGTTTATCAAGGAAAATAAAGGTGCCATCTTGGTTAAGAGTAAAACTTAAACAATCCTTACATGAGAAGTTCAGTATTGTATCAGTAACATGTTTTTTAAAAATAATGTATATATTTAAACAAACTATTTTCAATGAAATGTGTAATTGAAAATTAAAACAAAATAAATCAAACCACACCACTAGAATAATAAGCTCATGTCAAGATTTCTGGCACATCTGTTTCGTAATCCTTTCAATGTTCATTTTAACCATGTAAAAAAACTGTGTCATTTTAAATGACCTCAAAGACTTTTTAAAGTAGTTAAGATACAGTATACTACCTACTTATTTGTAGAATGCTGAAGCTGCCTCTAGAAACCTCTCTTGATAAAGTAAGGCATAAATAGGATGAGACATCTGGAAAACATAATGACTTAGAGCTCCTCTCAATTCCCATCTTTGAACTAGTCAGTATCAGAAAGAGATTGTGAAGGTAAGAATGTTTAATGACTTTAATGCTGTCTTTCTTGAGATTTACTTTCTCATGCTATACTATTCAAAAATCCAGTAAATTAATAAGATGGGTTTCATAAATAGAATATTTATTATTAATTTTGCTACATTTGGTTTGCCTTTATCATTTATTTTACAATGCTGTATTAGCTTTCTTTAGGCTAAATATCTGTAAGTGCTTTATGTCTCTAGAAATTTGAATTTATGGGGTGGATTTCTCAAAAACTGATCCAATTGCACAGCAATGAAAAAAGCCTGTTCTGAATTTTATGAGAAATTTAGGAATAAATACATATTTAAAGGCTACATGCCTTTAAAGACAAAATATCATTAGAAGAATCTGACTTCACCAAGCCCTCCAGGAAACCTGAAAAATGTAATTGTAAATAATTATATCAAGACAGCACAAAACAATTTGAATTTGGAATATAAAACTATAATTACGACAGAGGCACATGATGCTTTCATTTTATGAAATCACCCTGTAACTCACTTGATCTTCAGTATCCACTATTCTGAATATCATGCTTACCTTTTCAAATGTCCTAAGAGAAGGTGCCCATTATCAAACTCCTTGTTACAGTGCATTATGGGACATGAAATTGGTTTCCCAGACACCCGCATTTGGCCTCCTCTTCGGAATGAACTTTTTGTTCCAGAATTAATTGTGCCTGTTTTGAGTCCTGCGTCATTGGAATATAAAATCTTAAGTTCCTATTTCAGATATTTGTCCTTTGGACTGGTAATCAAAATTATGATAAAACAATGAAAATCATGATATGGCATTAACCAGGTGTATCATAATTAAATGTTTATAAGCTTTCTTATAAAAAATATAATAACCTAAAAGTAGAAAGATATTTGGGACAAGGAAAGCAGTTAACATCTTCAAATAGCCTCTTGAGGAAAAAAATTTGTTTCCTTAAACATCCGAGAAATATAAAAAAATCAAATGCATTAAAAAATCTGTTGCTCTACAGAAAACTTACCTCCCTTTCTTTTCATTTATAAAAGTATACAAAGATTTTTTCTTCTAATTCTTGTTTTCTCTTAAACTATCTTAAATACCTTATAGTAGTTATATAATAGAGGATGTGGGTTCTATGAAAATTATGTTCAATAATGTAACTGAGAGGGTGGGAGAACAAGGAGTCTCCAACCTGGACTTGAAGCAATGTGGGTGTCAGCAATAACCTATTTATAGAACACAAAGCAAAGATTTACTTGCCATTTCTCTTCTCTTTATCCTATTTTGTCCCTTCCCTTTTTCTCCTTTCAAAAGGAGTTAGAAAATATTGAGTTGGCCAAAAAGTCTTTTTCCCATAAACTAAAAGACACATTTTTCATTTTCACCAGTAACTTTATTGATTTGGGTATTTTGAGTATGTCAGCTATCTCCTGCTATTGGCTTCTTGTAGGTGGAGGCCAAGGGTGCCACTAAACATCTTTCAATGCAAAAGAGAGCCTCACAGCAAAAAATTATTTGGCGAAAATGTCAATAGTACCAAGAAACTTCACAAACCATTTCTGACACATTCGATCAGTCACAGCACCTTCTTCATACACTGCACAACTCTTTGTGTTTCAGTTATGTTTTTACCTTCCTTGAAATAAAAAAAGGATAATATGATGAAAATGTTACATATCTTCAATATTAAAATGGCTGCGCAAAAATTCACCAATTTTGGTAAGTTTTTTTTTTAATGCAGACTGACTGATATGATAGTTGTTCCAATACAATCTAACAAAATTGTTCTGAATGAAGTCAGAGACAACCAAGCACTTATTAGAGCCATCTTACAGAAAAATCTAAACGAACTTTCTGGCCAACCCAATAGTCTGCCCATCATTACCTTGTCTTAATGAATTAGCTCTTACTCTGGTCCATTCTTCTTCCCTTTTCTTTCTTTATAATTTTGGTCTTACAGTCACACAAGTCTTGTATACTAATACCGTTTGCCAAATGTCGTTCTCATGGAACTCTCAATACATGGTATACAATGGAAAATTTAGAACTATGTTGTATAAATAAAGAATTGTAAAGCTGCCAGGATGATACTAATATAAAGATCGTTTGTTGTCTCTTTTATTGTTTCTTGCGGATTGTTTAAATTAAATGCCTAAAATACTTCCCTTTTGTTAAAATATTTTATTTATTTTTAGACAGAAGGTTAAGGGAGGTAGAAAGAGAGGGAGAGAAACATGAACGTGTGTGCTTCTTGCGTGCTCCTTACTGGGGACCTGGCCTGCAACTCAGGCACGTGCTCTGACAGGGAATAAAACCAGTGACACCAGTTCGCAGGCCAGAGCTCAGTCCACTGAGCCACACCAGCCTAGGCAAAATGCCTTAAATATTTCATACAACAGAAAACTGGATATTTATCTTTATGACAGTTTCTTCAAAGCCCCTAAGCATTTAACCAGAGTAGAATATTATTTTTTTAACATCACTAGTTTTAAGATCCCCAAATGGTTATATATGCTTAAGGTTTCAACTGTCTTTCAGCTGTTCTAGTCCTTCTGGGGGAAATGCCACATTTAAAAGTTGCCAAAATGCTTATAAATGTGTTCAGCCAACAAACAACGAACAGCACAACATTAATCATACTTTAATCTTAAAGAGGCATTAAATGACAATACAATTTTTAAATGCAGTAAGAATTAGGGCAATTTTTATTTATTGTCCATCTACATTCCAGATGTCACCCGTTATGAGCTTTATTTAGCCCTGGCTGGTATGGCTCAGTGGGCTGAGTGCCGGCCTGAGAACCAAAGGTTCACTGGTTTGATTCTCAGTCAGGGCACATGACTGGGTTGGGGCCCAGGTCCTCAGTCAAGGGCACATGAGAGGCAACCACACATTGATGTTTCTCTCCCTCTCTTTCTCCCTCCCTTACCCTCTGTATAAAAATAAATAAATAAAATCTTTTTTTTTTAAAAAAGACCTTTATTGAGCCAAAGAGAAGCTCTGACTTACAGAGAAAACAATCAATTGAAAAGAAAATAAACTATACCCATGGAAAGGTGAAGTACAGATTTTAAACAGCTCTTTTCCTTAATAGCATAGAGAGCACAGTTTTTAAGTTATTAAGTATTCAAATGTATGCAAACTGACCTAACTGTAAAGGTCTAAGAAGATACTGAGAGATTTCTAAAATTAGAATAATTATAAATAAGGTACTTAAATTACTTTCTAATTAAAAAAATGGATTATAATAGCTGAATACTTTGAAATAGATTGAATGAGTCCCTTAATGATACTGAGAATCTCACTTTTTAAAATTAAAGAGTACAATGGCTCATCTCTGTTTTCCCCAGCTATGTACTTCTGCAAAGATCCCATCACTCTAAAGCCCATTTATGAAAAATAAATACCTGTACCAAATACAGCCCAATGCTGAAACAGCTGTCCTAGCAATCGATCCCAGAATTCGGTTTTACAGAGTTGCAGGGACCGAGCAAAAAGATGAAACAATCACATAAAAAAAGGATAACTAAAGACCTTAACTCCAGGCTCAAGCCTATCAGCCACTAATGAACCTGGTGTGACCTAAAGATATAAAAATGCCAAGTCTTGCCAAGAATTATAAAGACGGCTAAATGACTGATTATGCCCACCTGGCCTGTTCAGGTAAATACACAAACAAATGTTCATGAATTCAATTTACAATGAATTAAAATATTCCGACAATGTGGAAGCCACGGGTTAGGCCGAAAGGGGCATATTACCCACCCAATACCATTCTAGACAGGACATGAAAGTGTTAGATTCATATGAGATAAACAATTTTTAGAAGAGATCTTACAGGTGATAAAAGCTTGTAGTTACAGCCCATTTTCCTATGAAAATCATCTAGGAATCTTCTCAAAACTACAAATGCCCTAATTATCTCTGGAGGTGAAGCCCAGGAATGTATTTAAAAGTTCCCAGGTAATTCTCAAGCAGCTAAGGTGACTCACAGAGCTAGTCACTAACAACTACTGAGAAATGAATGCATGGATATCAAGAAGGATTTTTTTATTATAAACTATAGCCTTAAAAGAACATTCGAACAGGCAAAACCACTTACCATATAATTTCTAAGTCTCTTTTCCTAACATAGGCATGGAATGGAAACAATTCTTTTACATAGCTGAATGAAGAACTTGGAACAGAAGTTCTAGGCTTGTTTTCTGTGTTCACATGCATTTGCATGTTTATACAGACCCCTTTGGTATAATATTCAACTAATATTTATTGAGTATATCTATGCTGAGCATTCTTTTTAGGCACTGACACTAAATAGGATTAATAAGCATTGGTCTCCATCCCCACAGAGCATATACTGTGGTGGAAGAGACAGACATGTAAACATATCAATCCAACATAACAGTAAAATCTTTATTAGAAATGAATAAAGCAATGTAGGATCAAAGAAGGCTGAGCAACCAGACTTATGTATAATAAACCTAGCAACCTGTAGTGTTGAGTACTATCTGTGGGGTAACCCCAAAGGAAAGAAAGAAAAAAGAGGAAAACGTATCTCAAAGGGAGATGGATGAGGTAGAAACCTTCCAGGCAAAAACAGATTAGGTGATAAAAGGAAAAACAGTTTCAGGGAATGGCCAAGTGTCAAAATATCTACAAATTATTGCAATTATTTTACAAGTGGTAGTTTGACTCTATTTTTAAAAAGCCCTCTGAAAACTTCAAAAAAGATATCCATATTCAAAGCTGAGAACTGCATGAGTAGATATTTCTAATGACTTTTTGCAGTTAAACCTCCTGCTGAATTAAATCCACAGCTAAGGTTTCTGTGGCTATCCCAAGCCTTTAAGGGCTTAGTGGGTCTTCAACAAGACAGACTAGAAAAGTTGCCATAGTGGGATAGTTCTACTGGCTCTTAAGAAGTCCACCAAATTATCTAGCAGGGGAAAATGTTTCAGTGAAACTCTACCAAGAATCTCAGATCTGCAAAGTAAAGAGGCTACCCAATGCTTTTAAGATAAGCCTCCCTTACTCACAGAATATCTACATAGGCTACCCTGACAAGTAAATGGTAATCCTTTAGATAGCAGCTTAAATTTCATTTCCTCAGAGGACCCTTTCCTGACCTCATATGACCTGTTATACATCCTCCAACAGACATATGTAATATTTCATGTAATAACTAAAATCATAAGTGAATAAATTGGCAACATCTAATGAGCTATAACACTTACACTCAAATTATACTTTTGCCAAAGTAGGACAATAATTAGTAGAGTAGGCCATTATTAAGAACCACTAAAATTAAATTTCAATACTTTATATATTCATTAGCAACCAAATAAAACAAACATAATGTCATAAAGCTTTAGAGAAGCTAGGTAACCTTAGCATTCCACTCTGATCTCTAAAGAATACCTGGCATTTTTAGCCACTGGTCCACGCACAGTCTTGCAGCTTCTGTATCAGAATGTCCTCGAATAAATTCCAATTCTTGTAACCCATGAGCATGTTGAAAATCAATTTTTTCCTAAAGACATTAAGGGAAAAAACACAATTAACTATGATTACTAACCTGGTTTCCTTGAGAAAAAGATTTTGAGATATCAGTGATTATAAATAAGAATGATTACCTTTATCTCTGGAATTCCATCTAAGTCCCAAAGAGATAGTCAAAACAAAGGTTCATGCTCTAATATGCTGATCCAATTTTATCCATATCTGCACACAGTTCACTACAACCTACATCTCTAACAATAAGGCACTCTCTAAGTAAATTATGGTAAGTACATTTCACTAAAGTCAGTAGAAACACTAACCAAACTTTTTCAATGAAGTAGGAAAGTACTTTTGATATCAAGCAGGCCACCAAGTAGTATTAAAAAAATGAGGCCAAATACAAAGATTATTTCAAGCTATATGTAACTATGTCTGCAGAGAGGGAAAAAGGTTGAAAATAAATCTATTAAGTTCAATGGTTATCTCTAGGAATAAAGATATCAATGAGTAGTTTCATTTTTAAACTTTTATATTTTTTTCCCAATTTTCCATATATAGGATAGGGCAAAAGTAGGTCTACAGTTGTTTGTATGGAAAATGATACAATAATTAATAAATAACAATAAGAGAATATACTGTTTCATGTACTCATAACTGCAAACCTACCTTTGCCTTGCCCTGTATAGTCTGAAGTCACAGAAGCATATTAAATAGTTGTTCAGTGAATAATATTACTTTGAGCAGACACTTACTAGTACTTACTATGTGTCAATATAAAGCATTTATTGATGCTTAAACCAAGGGTTAGCAAATTTCCCCATAAAGGGCCAGATGGCAAATATTTTAGGCTGTGTTGCCTATACAGTCTCTATTGCAACTACTCAACTCTGCCACTGCAATATGAAAGCAGCCATTGACAATATGTGAACAAATGGGCATAGCTACATTCCAATAAAACTTCGTTTACAAAAACAGGCAGCAGGCCAGTGCCAATCACTAAATTAGATGCTTTAGACTGCTAAAGTCTCAAATCTTTCTAGTTATAGATCTATAAATCTATATGCACATTCTCTACTCATGTTGTACCTAACAATTAACATTTATTAACCACTTACTATGTGACAGGAACTGTTGTAAAAGGATTTTAGATTTAATTCTCACAGTAACTCTGTGCAATAGGGACTACTGTTGTTCCCATTTTAAAATGGGAAACAAGTACAGGAAGGTCAAATAAATTGCCCATGGATAAAGAGCAATGCCAGGATTTAAACTCTCGCAATCTGATTCTAGGATCCACGCACTTAAAACAGTACACCACACTGTGTCTCAAAAAGCCTATGTTCTTAAAAAGAAATGAAATTCACAAACATTAGATTTGCAAGACATGAGTCAGAATAATGAATGGCCTAGTTAGCTATATAACAGGATCTTCTGAAAGTAGAAAGATAGGAAGATTCAAAATTTTAATCTGAAAGTTTCACAACATTGTTCAAAGTATATGGAAAATGAATTCTCAAAAATGTTAATGTGCATTATATACATTAAAAAAAATTCTCTGTAATCAACTTAAGTATAGAAACACTGGTTTTAAAATAAAGTTTAAAAGGTTCATTTAGTGTAGGACTTCCAAAACCTTAAAGTACTAATGTGCCTATGATTTTCCATCTGGAGAGTATGCAGTATCCCAACTTCATAAATCACCTATTACTTATTTTTTTTAAGTATATCCTACAGGATCAGTGTTCTGAATAACATGCTATGGGAAACAAAGTTAGTTTAACCAAATATAAAGTTTTTCTTATTTGTAAGAATAAACCATTTATAAATGTTCCTTACAAAAATCTATCACAATAGAAACTCTTAAATTAAATTACCATATTGAGATTAAATATTACTACATGTCAGCTATAGCCTACTTATTTCAAGCAATTGCCAATGATTTAAGAAAAAACATGTTTCATGTTTTTAAAAAATGTTTTCTGGCATTTCTCACAATAGAACTTTACCTCTATGGCCAAACATAGTCAATGCTAAAAAAATAAAAATAAAAAAATTTGCTGGCTGAAACTGTCTCCAAATAAGCTACCTTTTTTCTGTATCACAAAGCTCCTTCCACAAACTTGAGGGTTACCTTATCGCATGTCATCTTACTCCAGAAATATCAATAAGCAAAGCTGGTAGCTGGTTAACTAGTCAGCACAGCACAATATCTCTGAAAGTGATTTAACCAGCAAAGATTTCAATGATTATCTTTTTTATACTTTAAAACCACTCCATCATAAAAGATGGAAAATCTACTTTAATAGTGAGATACCCACCATTCACAAAGGCCTAGAATAGTTTAAAGACACTTTCTGCTAATATCTATTTTTAGTCAGAGTTATCCAATACTACAATTCTTCTAAATAAGTTATTTTTATTTCAGTTTCATTATCTTCCTTTCTGGGTAGTTTTTGTTTTCTGTCAAATAGTTTTTAAAAACAACTTATCCATAAAGAGAACCAAATAGGAACAACAGAAAAAGTCATAAATGGTTAGCAAACAATGAGCTAAAACACCTGTGTGAGTTTCTCTCCTAGAAAAGATATATTTATTCTTGACAATTGGTTAAACAAGAATTTCAAAAAACTCTTCAATTCCAAGGTAAAGTCTTTAATTCAACAAATGAACATTTATGTAGATAGAGGCTAAAACTACCTTTGAGAAAAACCTTAGTTGTCTGAGTGACTGTAAGATTATGAACTCATCAGGAAAGTTTTATTATTTGTGTCCATTACCAGTGCCTGGGAAAAGAAGCTAGCATCACTCAGGAATCTGCAGAAAAGGAGGGCAGCTTCCAAACCACTCCTGTCTCCAAAAGATTTTCCCTACGACGCATAAACAACACATTTAACTTAACTTTAGGAGAGAATCTTCCTTAAAAATGAATAGTGTTTCTGCCAGGAAAAAAAACAAAATGTTTTTAAAATATCTTTATGTCTTGAGCATTTTAAACATACAACCAGAATACCATGCTCTAATTTAATTGGTACTGCATGATAAAGTTAAATTCCCCAAACAAACCTAATTCTAAAGATTAATTTATTCTATATTAAATTAGGTGATACTAAAACAGGGTACAGAAATATGTATATATTCACTTCTAATAACCAATACAAAATCAAGGAATCAAAAACAGATGTTAAAATTATAAAGTCATAGTGCTTATCTCAACCTGGGAAATCATCTTCAACTCTGTTCCTTTAGAGATTGAAGCCCAAAGTCTATCAAAGCAAAGTGATCTGCTAAAATCTAAACGGCTGCGGAAAGAGCCATGATCTCAATTTCCATTTTTAAAATCCTACTATGAAACTTTCTTTTACCCAACTCATTTACATTCTACTCCTAATAGACATACCGAGGGAGTTATTTATTTCATTTGGGACTTTCCAAAGCAAGTCAAGGAAAAAATCTGTATCACATGCGTTTCTAAACTAGTATTCATTTTCCACATAGCCCTTCTATAACTGATTCAAGTTTCTTCCTTTCAGTAATCGATTTAATCTGAAAGGCCAAGGTGAAGTTTCAGAAAGTGATCTGCCTCTATTTGGTAGAAAATAACCTTGCCACAGTTTATATTTTCAAACCCAACAAACAATTTTCACTCTTGCAATAAAGTAATCATAAACCCTTTAATTGCTCATTTGCTTTGAGTAATCCGGTGATTTTTAATTCCCAAAAATAAAGTTCACTCAAGTAATTCTATTTTTCCTGTATACATATATGATCAGAATCCAACAAACTAAAAACAGAAATGTAAAAAGCTATTATGAATTACTACTAAATTGATGCACTATCTAGAGTCCTTGCTGAACATGGATTCAATTATACATTTTTTTTATTACATATTTCTCCTCACAATTTTATTATAAACAATTCTATAATTTGGTAAGACAACAATTAGTATGGCTACATACCCTAAATGCTCTATTCTTCTCTTCTTTCTGCTGTTTCTCAACTTCAACATGGCGGGCGAGACGAGCCAGAGTTAAAGCAACTTTATCCTTCTGATGATCAATATGGTCTTTATGCTTAACATTACCCTGTAAGTGAAAAAACAATTTTCATTCCTTTTAACAAAAAAAATTAGCTTTGGGAGAACATATATCCATTTAACAAAGAGTTACTGCATTAAAGAACTACTTACTTTTACCATTATCAAATTTCTAAGAAACTGACTTGTATATTTTATATCATATGTGGTGTTTTGTAGATCAACAAATCATTCACCAGCACCACTGTTTTCAAAGTTAGATAAACTAGCTGCTAGGACATTTATCATCTTTATTTACTTTATAATCATCAGGAAATTGAAAAGTTTGGCATTGCTTTGCACTGAGTCTACACAGTAATGCCATTAAGCCATTAATCCACAGTCTAAAAGTACAAACACCCTTAGCTTTGTTTTTCCAGCAATGGCAGGAAAGTGTTTACTGAAGAGAAACTACTGATTTTTAAAAAACAGATCTAAATTTCAGTTCCCAGTCCAACATCAAAGTGGCTTAGACATTGCCACTCCATCCTAACAATGAGCAAAAAGCTAAACAAACTGGTAAGTCCACACCTCTTCTTAGATTCATCAAAGTCATGTCACAGTATAAACTGCTGCCCCCAAAATGAGAGAGACAGGGGGGCACATACAAAGAATTAAAACTTAGTGGAAATGCGTAAGTAGAAACAGCAGCAGGAAGCAATACTGAGTAGGAAAAATTGAACCGTAACTGATGAATTGCTTGTCAGTGTAGACAAGTCTAAGAGTTAAAAATTCCAGGGGGACCCAGTGTCTGCATCAATTTATACTCCCAACAACAATGTACCAGGGTTCCCTTTTCTCCACATCTTTAACACTTATTCTTTTCTTTTTGATAATAGCCATTCTAACAGATGCGAGGTGGTATCTTACTGTAGTTTTGATTTTCACTTCCCTGATAATTATAGTGATGTGGAACATCTCTCTGTGTGCCTGGGGCCATTTGTAAGCCTTCTTTGTAAAAATATTTATATCCTCTGTCCCTCTTTAATCAAATTGTCTTTTTGCTATTAAGTTCTTTATATATTTTGGGTATTAACCTGTTATTGAATATATAATTTGCAAATATTTTTTTCCCATTCAGATTGCCTTTTCATTTTAATGGTTTCCTTTACTGTGCAGTTTTTTAGTTTGATATAATCCCACTTGTTTATTTTTGCTTTTGTTGCCTTTGCTTTTGGACTTCCAATGTCAAGACTGATGTCAAAGGGTTTACTGCCTGTTTCATTCTAGTTTTATAGTGTCAGGTCTTACATTCAAGCCTTTAATCCATTTTGAGTTAATTTTTGTGTATGGTCTAAGACAGTGGTCTAGTTTCATTCTTTTACATGTGGTTGTCACCACCACTTATTGAAGAGGCTGTCTTTTGTCAAAAATTAATTGACCACATATGTGTGGGTTTACAAGTATTTCTAGGCTATTTGGTTTTATTGATCAATCAGTTTTTACGCCAAACCATACTGTTTTATTACAGTTTTGTGATACAGTCTGAAATCAGAAAAGTGTGCGATCTCCAACAACTTCATTCTTTCTCGATTGCTTTGGCTATTCAAGGTATTTTTTGTGGTTCAATACAAATTTTAGAATTATTTGTTCTAGTTCTGTGAAAAAAGCTGTTTGAATTTCGATAGGAATTGCACTAAATCTGTAACTGCACTAGGTAGCAGGGACGTTTGAACAATACTGATTCTTCCTATCTATGAGCATGAAATTATCTGTCCATTTATGTGTCCTTCTTCAATTTCTACCACCAATGTCTTAATAGTTTTCAGTGTACATGTCTTTCATCTACTTGATTAAATTTATGACTAGGTATTTTATTCCTTATGGTGCAATTATAAATGAGATTTTCTTCATTTCTTTTTCTGATAGTTCATTATTAGCATATAAAACTTCTGTATATTGACTTTTTATCCAGTGACTTAATAAATTCATTTATTAGTCCTAACAGGTTTTTTTGTTGAAATCTTTCAGGTTTTCTATATTCAGATGTTCCTTGGCTTATGATTGGGTTATGTCCAAATAAACTCATCTTAGGTTGATAATATTGTAAGTAAAAAATGCATTTAAGACACCTAACCTATGAGACATTGTAGCTTATTAGCCTAGTCAGTTACTGCTGAATGCAAATCACTTTCATACCATTCTAAAGTCAAAAAATTACATCACATCATCTTAAATCAAACACTGTGTATATAGTATTTTGTCATCTGCAAACAGTGAGTTTTACTTCTTCCTTTCCAATATCCAATTAGATGCCTTTTCCCCCCTGGTCTAATTGCCCTGGTTAGGACTTCTAAAAGTCCTATGCTGATTAAAAGTGGCAAGAGTGGACATCTCTGTCTTTGTTCCTAATCTTAGAGGAAAATCTTTCAACTTTTCAATGTTGATTATGTCACCTAGAGATTTATCATGTATGGCCTTTATTATATTGAAGTACATTCCCTCTATATCTACTTTCTTCTGGGTTCTTTTTTTTCTTACCATAAATGGATGCTGAATTTTGTCAAAGGCTTTTCTGTTTCCATTGTGATGACCATGATTTTTATCCTTGATTTAGTTAATGTGATTATCATGTGCACTGATTTGCAAATATTGAGCCATCCTTGCATCCCTGGGATAAATCCCACTTGATCATGGTGTATAATCCTTTCAATCTATAATGGAATTTGGTTTGGTAATATTTCGGTGAGAATTTCTGCATCCAAATTTCCTCAAATATTAAATACAAACATTTTTTACTTTACTTTTCACTCATCTACTCACCCCAAAAAAGAGCCTCTAAAGTCACTTCTTACTGCTCTAACTAGCTAAACCAGTTTTCTGGAAATATCCACCAAGATCAAGTCAAAAGAAATGAGAATATAAGTAGCAATTCTGCTTTTGTAAAGCAATCTCTAGAAACTCAGTACTGAAAAGTAGGACTTTGCAGGAGAAATTATCATTTACAAAGCTTTTAGCAGCGTATCATTTTGCAGTTTTATGCTAGACAAATTATTTATATTTTAAAATCATTACTAATCTCTAAAAACAACTTAAGTTCTTAAGTAACAAAAATGATCAAAGTAAGCATTGTCTACAATATTACTTTTTTAATGAAAATAAGAGTAGTCCCTGAACCACTCTGTGAAATACAGTAATTGTGCTCCATGTACCACACAGGGTGATATAATCCATGAGAAAGCGCTCTGTAAAAATAGTTATTATCCAGAGAAGTGATGACAACAACCCAGTTCCCTGACTAACCAAGGCACTTTTTGGTACTAAAAAAGCCAGTAATAAAAAAAGATGAAATCTGTAGGTGGAAGGGGGGGGTGAAGAAAAGGGAGAGGGAATGTATATAGAAAAATCCATGGCAGAGAGTTATTTACTGTTGTTCTCTCTCTCTGAATGTGATCTGGCACTGATTAGAGAGGAGCACCAACTGGAGGATTATTCCCTCCTACCTCTTTATCTTCTATGTAAGGGTTCCAAGGTTCAAAGAAGCTCAAAGGAGCAACCGACTGCAAAAGTGGCATGAATTAACTTTGCAAATCATATTGTAACGGGGCATAGCCAGGACCTTCCCCCTCCCCCACCGGGGGAGTATTTGTGATGGGGTCCGGAGATTGGGGTGTCCGAGAAAAATATATTCTCCCCACCCCAAGGCAGGCTGCCATGGGGGATCGGAGCCTGGAGCAGGGCCACTGAGTCATTTTGCTTGTCAGTAACAGGATAACTTCGTTCCTCATATGCAAAGAGGGTTATTTTGCATATCACCAAGGCTAATCAGGAAGGTTTAAAAGACTTAATACAGAATATAACTGGGAGAGGAAGAGAGACAGGGGCCTGCGGGAAAGACAATGGGACACAGGCTCTGGGGAACAGTGTGAAGACCATGCAGGAAGAAAGAGGGGAGAAAGGACTCTTGCTGGTGGGCCATGAGAAGGTGCCACATGGTTATGGATTAAGAGCTGGAGACTGGCAATGAAGTGGATGGTGCTGAGAACCACAAGAGGTCTGCCTAGCCGAGTCCCGGACTTCTGTTCTTTTTCTCTGAAGGACGGTACCCCTGACAGGCCTGACTGGCCCAACTGGGCAAAGCAGGGAAGGCAGGACTGTGTGTGTTGGTGGATGTTTTAAAGGGATTTTGAGATTCAAGAGTGACATTTAGCCATTAATCAAACCTGTGTTAACTTTTTGAATAGTTCCTTTCCTTTTCACCAAACTCTGCCATTCAGAGCCATAATTCCAAGGGGGGCAGACGAAGGACCTACAACCAAGGGACCCCGGGGAAGGGGGTGTTGTTTCGGTAATAGCATCTGGGCAACCTTCCCCATGGGTCCGTTTGTTCAGTAACAGTATCACCCACCTGACTAGTGCACTTGGTTTGAACAGAATTCCTAAAACTGCAATACTTCACACACAGTCAAGTTTCAAAGTCTGATTATTGCCCCTCCTAAAGTGTTGGTCCTTAGGTCTGAAGTTTACACCTCCAGAAGTGCTCTTTACCAGAAACTTCTTCTACCCAACTTATAACTCAAACCACATCCCAAATAACATTTTGGAAAGCAACAATTTTTCTCAAGAATTTTATATTCAAATACGGTTAGCGCAGAAGAAATAAACACAGCAAAGCAGTACAATATTTATTTACCATCTCCAACAGCAAAGCTTTGGAACCAAGAAAAAACCCTTTTGTACAAAGCAATCTCCTTCCCACCCCCAACTGGTTATTGTTTACAAATACAAAGTACACAGAACAACTGCTTTATATGAGCAAATTTAAAAACATACATACAGATATATCCCATTCTGTAAAGTAATTTAGTTAAGAAGGCTACAGTACCATCAACCTGTTACATAAGATTCTTCCTGTATTGTCTTTTGAGTAAACTGCCAATATCTCTATGTATAAAAATTCCCTTCTAGAAAGAATGACTTTGATTATCCTTCAGTATAGGACAAAAATAAATAAATAAATGTAACCTTGGAACTTCAAGGAATTTAAAAACATCTCTGAATATAAAGCAA